AAAATATGAATAATTATAATATTATATAATAGTATAAATTTATAATATTATAATAAAATATATTATTATATAAATTAATTTTTTATTTAAATATTTATTTATAATATTAAATATATGTATTTATTTGATATTATATTATATTTTATTAAATATTAGGTAAATTTAAAAACTTATAATCTTACCTACCATTGGAATTAAAAGTAAAACATTACCGTTTCCAATTTCCCATCCTTTCCATTCTTTTCATTTTCCGTCAATCCAAAGAGCACTTAATTAATCTATTCAATGTATTTTCCCTTTCCTCTCATACGAGGAAAGAAAACCTCTGATTTTTAGGTTCATAACTTCATAATTTTTTTTAGTTTCAACTCCAGAATTTTAAGTTAGAATCTCGGGTTTTCAAGAGCACTTGAGACGCTCAGGGGTTTACGTTCAGAATGCCTTGCCTTGTGATAGTGCGATCGTGAAGTACGACAAGGAGAGTCCCAGGACCGATCCCCGAGCGCCACATCATCTGGTTCGGCTGGAAGCTCGTCCTTGTCCTCTCCGTCGCACTCTGCGTCGTTGCTTTCCTCCTCCATTTTTCGGCCGATGTCGCCTCTCCGAACTCCTTATCTCGGGCTTGGACGAGATCTTGGGTTTCCTTAAATAGCTACGACGGGAATCCCAAGATCGAGTTCCTCTTCCTCGCCAGTCGGGACACCTACCTCTTGATTTTCTCTGGAGCACCTTCTTTGAGGTCTGTTTCTCTGTTTTCAAATTTGTGCGCAGTTCTTATGAAAAATGAAAAGGAATTTATGCAGTTTCTTGGTAAAGCTATATGAATTTCAGAATCTGAAGTTGTTTGGTTTTTGCAGAATGCTGATGCTGATAATTTCTCTATTAAATATATTCTACGAGCCTGGATTTGTCTTTGATGAATTGAATTCGGCCTCGCCATTCTTTCATGGTCGCCAATTGAGTAATAGCATTAAGGTGATCAATTTTCGGCTTTGTATTTTGAGTTTCAGATGGTGGAAAGAAGGGAATTATAGTTTGGAGTTTTAAGCTTTTGTTGGTAGTGAAAGCAGAGAACTTTCCAAGTTTCGAAGTTGTAATTTTTCTTCTATTGTTGGTTGGTAAACGGAAAGTGGAAGGATGAATTAGAAACTTGTTTAGTTCAATGGCATATCTGATTTTGAGTTCGTACCTGCCGGTCTCTTATTGTAGGTGAGATGGGGAGAATCAAGAATGATAGAAGTGGAGAGGTTGTTGCTTGCAGTTGCTCGAGAAGATCCGGTGAATCAAAGATTTATCATGCTTTCTGACTGGTTTGTAAAGCTTGGACAAGGATTGGTATTGTAATTAAGGAAATTTTCTTATTCCTTGGATCAAGAACATTTTCTTTGAGTTCAGGTTAATCCAGGTTTTTATTTTTCTGTATTGCAGTTGTGTTCCTCTTTACAGTTTTAGCTAAATATACAAGTATCTGATGGCTTCTCCAAGGAGTTACGTGGACAGGTAGATGGTAGCCTTCTTGATTCTTGAGGTGCCTAGAATTGATTCTTTACAAATGGTTCCATGATAAATGAAATGATAGTGTTCTATCTGAAGAAATCACCTCATTTTGTAGCTTTCTTGATGTGAAGGATAGTAGATAAAGCTCGAAGATGTCACCTTTCATCCCAAAAGACGAGTGGCGAAAAGGATCTTAGGTTATCTATTTTCTATTACAGTTAACATTAAATTAATATGGTTGGCATCCGGCCCTTTGGGCCAAGTGGTTTCCGAGCACCTGATGCATTCTCCCGTCCCCCGGGCAAGGTTCAACCCCGCCCCATGTAATATTGTTCAAAAAAAAAAATTAATATA